AACCTAACCCTAAACCTAACTCTAAACCTAACTCTAAACCTAACCCTAAACCTAATCCTAAACCCTAAACCTAACCCTAAAGCTAACCCTGAACCTAATCCTGAACCTATCCTGAACCTAACCCTAAAGCTAACCCTGAACCTAACCCTAAATCTAACCCTGAACCTAACCCTAAACCTAACTCTAAACCTAACTCTAAACCTAACCCTAAACCTAATCCTAAACCCTAAACCTAACCCTAAAGCTAACCCTGAACCTAACCCTGAACCTATTCTGAACCTAACCCTAAACCTAACCCTAAACCTAACCCTGAACCTAACCCTAAACCTAACCCTGAACCTAACCCTGAATTTAACCCTTACCTTAACTTAAATCGCACTTCTGTCGGCGCGTTGTTGTGGGCGCGTTGTTGTGGACGCGTTGATGACGTCATGGTTTTCTCACCGCGGTTTTGTCAGCGCGCTTTTGTCGTGCGCGCATTTATCGGGTCACGGATATTTTAAATATGTTCTACTTGTTTAGATATGTTTTTAGTCCTTGGAAAAAGGGGGAAAGTGCAAACTTTTCTCATCCTTATGGTTCTCTGATGATGCTTTTGGACAGGGGGACTGTGTCATTGGTGTGACTGATGGAAAAGCTCTGGCCGAAGAGTGCATTGCAAATCCAAAGGTATGAAAAAAATACCCACCCTCCGGTATTTTTAAAATTCTTTTCAAAAACCAAAAATATAAATATGTAAGAGAATAAAGAGGATTACATGAAAATTTATCACTCATAATTTATTCAGTAAATTTTGTTTCTATATTCAAAAAATTAAGTTTCGCTCACTTTGCCTAATTTTAAAAGAGGAAAGAACAATGGGAAGAGTGCATATATGGAGTAACAAAAGAAACACAATTTCTTTTGTCATCTTGTCAAAACCTCAAGTGATAGGAAGCTGATCCAACAGAAAAAGAGTTTTTACTATTATAGAAAAATTAGATGAAAATGCGTGTTCTTCCTATTTGTAAAATCAACCTATTTACAATTGTAAGATCACACAGAAGTAATTTCCTCTGTCCTGTTGGTTAAGGTGGCAGCATATTTGAGTCCCTCCCGGAGAAGGGTGGCATACAAATAAACTAAATCTTAAATCTTAAATCATATTTAAGTCACTTGATTGTGTATCTTTGGAAAAATTGCCTTTTAAACTGTGCTACATCTCATACTGTTAGTTAATTGGGATTGTCACTTGTGTCCTGAAATCCTTTATTGCAGAAAATAAGTTCCGAGAATACTACCGTATTTTTCGGAGTATAAGATGCACCGGACTATAAGACGCACCAAGATTTTGAAGAGGCAAATTTTAAAAAAAGGTTTTGCACTCTGCAGACCTCCCAAAAACGGCCTGTTTTTTGTGAGAACAGGCCTGTTTTTTGTCAAAAAAAAAGGGCATGCATAGCCTTTAGGAGACTTATAAAGTGCTTCTGGGGGCTGCAGGGGCAAAATGTTTTGCCCTCCCCAGCTCCCAGGAGCACTCTGGAAGTCTCCTAAAGGTTATGCACGGCCATTTTTGCAAAGGGGGTGGGGTTTTGGGAAACAAAAACTGCTGCATTCAGTGTATAAGATGCACCCAGATTTTCACCCTCTTTTTTGAGGGAAAAAGGTGCGTCTTATACTCTGAAAAATACGTTAAGTTCAGACGGCTCATGATGCTTTTGTTCAAGATTTTATTTTATTTTATTTTTCGAAAGCTGCTTTGGAAAATCCCCCAAGGAGTATCTTATGAACAAGCTGCAGCACTGCCTGCTTCATATGGGACAGCCATCTTGGCCTTGAAATATAGAGCACAAACACAGCTAGGGTGAGTAGAAGCCCAACAATAGTACCACAAAGTCTTGTTTGGTCAACAAAGTTCTGGGTTGTGTTACAATTCTGTAATAATTGGTGGCTATTTTGAGGCTTTCCATGTATGGAAGATACCAAGATCTGGATCTAACAGATCATTAGACTGATAGCATATTATTCAGAATTGTTCCATTATTTCAGTTTATAGTCTGATTTGTTCTAATGTACAATTTTGTAAATACTGTAGATGACTTTTTGCTTTAGTTTTAATATGTTGATATATTTGATGTGCATCGGATTTGAAGTAAAGGTTTTTTTCCTAATAAAATGGACTGCTAAGAATTAGGAATTGTAGGAGTAGTTGTCCAAAAAGTTGGCTGCTTCCTTAGTTATATCACTTCTATCTGAAGAAATTAGAAGACATATATTGTACCCTTATAACCAGAGGTGGGTTCCTACCAGTTCGCACCTATTCGGTAGAACCGGTTCGTCAAATCTACCGAACCGGTTAGAAGAGGTTCCACCAGTGGACCCGGAAAGCAGGCCACACCTACAGAAGAGGTTCCAAAAATTTTTGAAACCCACCACTGGTAATAACATACCGTCCATTTTAATCTTTCAACCTTAAAATATAGAGGAAATATATAAAAAAAATGTTATGCTCAAAATCCTATAAGCTATATGTGGATCAAGAACCACCAGAAGTACAGGCAAAATTTCAAAAGAGGCAGAGGAACTGGAGAACAAATTGTCAACATAAGCTGGATCATGGAGAAAAAGATCTACTTCTGCTTCATTGATTATGCTAAAGCCTTTGACT